CTTCAAAAACCGGAGTTCTTTAAGAGATGAGGTGGAGTTTAGTGCTTATCGTCAAGGTAGGCTAATGTTGTTTATGGGGGACGGTTCTAATATCCCGAGACTATTTGCTTTGGTATGAGCGAGCAACTTATCGATACGGGCATAACACCAATCTATAAAAGAACACTGCTGTCCGGGATGATGGCTTTGGGTAAAAAGCTTTTGGTCCTGACAAGGACCTGGTCGCAAAGCAGCGGCTGAGATCTATCTCCTTGGATAAATAATTCCTTCATCATCTTACCGACCAAGACGTTTAGTCAAGTCGGGGTTCCAAAGGGACGGACCAGAAGGCTGGATTTCATCTGACCTCTACATTTTGACCTGTCAGTTACGATNGATTATCTCTTCAGATTGATAAGAGCCATTCACGGTAGGTCATTAAGAAATGCAAGTGTACAAACCATCGCACTACGTTGTGGTGTAGTCCTTTCGTGATCAAGTTTAACTGATCCTTTATTAGCAAGCGAAAGACATAGATGTTAATACGATTCCTCGTGAAACGTAATCACGAAAGCCATTGTTTAAAATATGCTTCCAAACGTATGTACATAGGAGTCATTTTGATTACATATTTGAACATTTATACTGTCAAGTCCTCCTTGGAAAATAGAGTGGCATTGAGGTAAAAAAAGTAGGTATTCGGTCCTTAACCTTAGATTCGTTGAACAGATTAGTATGTGACTTAAAGATAGATGGCAGACAAAACAAAACAGATTATGAAACTTTTACTAGAACTAGCATTGAGATATCCTTCAGTGAACAGACCCATAAGGCAATCAAGAAGAAATGAGAATATTGGACTCTAATTTTTCACAAACAACCATTTAAATACTGAAACAAAAATAACAGCACGAATAGTAACGAAAAAGTTACCTCGAACATCTGATTAATCACTGATTCCAACAGAAACAACAAACATCGCAACTCCTGATCCGTCACTGGACCGATTCCGGTCAAACGCCTATCGCTGTCCGTGGACGAATTGGTTCGGAATCGTTCCAGTAAACAGTCCATCAGAATGGTAACCAGACGGGGCAAATGGTTTCCACGTACACCGGGATATGTATCGACGGGAAAATGAGTGAGTATGAAACGGACAACATAGCACAAGTGTTCCAGTGTCAATGTGCGCGGTCGCAGAGAGGTGACCGTGACAGGGGCCGTGGACTCTGTTTCAGGCAATGTGGATAAGGGTAAAAGCTGAGACTGAAATTGACGCCCGAGGAAACCCCACAAGAAATCCCCGTCTAGATTGCAAAGGAACAGATGAGACGTCCGNAGAAACTCCTCGGCATAGGTAAGCCTACCACTATTGGAAGATACCGTATCACGTGTGGTTTGACCGGAAGTTTCCGGAACATTCGTGGAATTCACTTCTCCTTGATCGTCTTCAGTCGAGTTAAATTCTGCAGAGGATACTATCATACCCATGGTATTCGAATTATCACGATCTTCTGTAATACAATGTAGGAAAAAAGATGAAACTTGTTTGGTAGTGTTGTAAAACTAAATCGAGTAAGATTATCCGTAGCAGTAATGGGTAGTGGAATTGGTTTGTTACAATAGGCCGACAAAAACTGGTTTATTAGAATGAAAAAATCAGTGGAGGTCCATTAATAGAGAAAAGCCCTATTCACCGGGAGGAGAAATGTCCGGCACCAGTGATTACCAACGATCTGGTGAACTGTAAGAGGGTTCCCACATGGCCACAGGTAATTGAGTCCGAGGTTCAGTCGTAAACCCTTTCGATGAAAAAAGCGATTCCGATTTTTCATCAAAACTGTTCTTTATGAGAGTAGAACCAATTTCCCGGAACATTAAGGCGTTTTCCGGTCAATTTGATGACGTGGTCCAAATCGATTTTAGTCATTTTTAGTGGACGGACAATGCCTCAAATCCACTGTTCACTAAATGACAGTGAAACCTGAATTTAGAGGATGAAAATGCAATTCGTGGGAGACTTTTCAAGGAAGTGATTGACCGCTGCTTTTGTTTAACAAGTATGATCTTTCTCCAATGGGGAATAAACTAAGCTCGATCTTTTATAGCCAATATAGAATGAAATTTATGGAAGACAGAGACTATACTACTCGAATTCATATTTTCCACACACACACACACACACACACACACACACACACACACACACTTCAGTAGCTAAGATTTTCTTTGATAAGCGCCTTTATCGTGATAGCGTATGTTAAGCACAAGCATGTTCACTATACATGCATTCACTGCAAGGATGGAATTAGCTACATTATTACGGAAAAAGAGCTTGTATTCAACAGCAGTTTAAAAACAGTGCACTCTTAAGATTTTCTGATGAAGACAATCTGGAAGAGAGTGTAACGTAAGCACACTATATAATCAACCCAGGATTAGGCATAAATGTAGCAAACAGAAGAGTAGTTGTTTTTCTCTTAGATTTTTCAATAAATAAACACGTGGGTGATGCCGCAAATCCGGGAAATCTCATGATTACACAAATCCATTAACCACAATCAGTTACAGCAATTGCGCAAACATGTGAGCCACTGGATTGGTGACTAGGACCTATAATAGCGGTCTAGATGAGCACAAAAACAGTGGTTAAACAGACAGCGTGAAGCAGATTTTTAAGGGCAGCATTGTCCGTTGTCACTCACGTTGGTCGGACAGTCGAGAATTCTNTTTAGCTACAATATGATCGGCCATCAGAGCAAGCATGTTGTCCGGAGTGTCGCGACTGATCTCCGTCGGACCGGTGCGGCGAATGATCGCAATCGAATCACCATTGTTCCATGCCAGCGCCCGTTCCCTCAGTGTGAGAAACTCGTGATACATGTACCAAAGCAAATCGGGCAACAGGTCCTCTATGATTGCCCCGCCCAAGTCACAACGATCCAACAGGCCAGACACAATGCGAAACGGGCGTTCGGCAACACTCCGTTCAGGAGCTAAATGAGTATAATTAGGGGTGAGAATGAAACAAAATTTGCGAGCATGGAACTGGAACTGAATTTCCGATTGGACTATTTGGTGAATCTGGACCTTCAAATCAGACTTGCGCTAACTTCGGAAACTAGACCATAACGCATTACAAGAAATAGGGCTACAATCAACAGGTCGAAATTAAAAGTATTAGCTATTTAAGTGGCCTGATCGGGCCTACATCCGCTTGCCTCAATGACTGTGCGATTTTCATGGCAAACGAAAAACTGGGAGTTGTGGGAGAAACTATCGCGTTCATTGCACAAATAAAATCATTTCTACCCATACAAAAAGATTTTCAGAGATACAAAGTTATACATTATCAATGCACATACCGAACCAGGTAAAAACGTCTATCCATCAGACGCTAGAATGAACGGGAAAATTAGCAAATGAAGAGGTGGGTCTTGCCCAGTTGGTAACTTAATCTTACGTAGATTAAAAGTCTAGGCAAAAGGCAAGACATGCAGGGGAGCAGGTTTGGCATGTGTAAATCTGGATCACCAGTGAGAAGGAACGTTCTTTGGTCCAACCGCTTCCGAATGAATACAGAGTCTCGTTTGATAATGTGGCGACATGTGTAAGAGACACCGAGGGTAAACGAGCTCTACCAACTATCAAACAATGTTGTCGTCGCGTTCATGAGATAAACGAACAAGTTACGCACAGGTTTGACGTAGGAAATCAAGCGACCGAAATAGACCATCATCATCGTACAGCGAAATACAGTGAAGCGAACTTCACTGATCGCTGCCAAGCTCGCAATGTATACAAGGTTAGTGGTAAGTTTTGAGGTGGATCTATTTTGAGGGAGGGGGAGGAAGAGAAACCTCTATGGTCAACACACATAATCGAACTCTGCATACATACCAAAACAGAGCATGGAGTCAAATAATCTACCTTAAAAGATTGGAATGACTGAGGTAGGAGTAGCGCATACCCTCATATACACCTTTTGGGCAATGATTGAAAGACAGTTGAAGATTAACAGTCCGTATCTGGATGAAATGACATAGTAAATTCCGATAAACTAAATAATGCAGATAAAGTGAGACCCCCAGCTTGACATTCATCACAGCCGGGAGGGGTAATTTACTGCATGTTGCAAATTATGATGTTCAGTTGCTAACCCAGCCGTATTACCCGCTTAACCAATTCTCATAATCATCACGACTGGTTTGCTAGATACTAGCACGAAAGTCAAGGTTTCATAACATGACAGTGCACTAACTAGGGCAGGGTAAAACCGAGAAATGTATTGTCACGAAGATACCACGGGACTTACCGAAGAAGTTGAGCGGTGGCCGGATGCTCACATTGCCCGATCCCCACAGTCCAATCAGTTGAGTTGGTAATGGAAGTTGATCGGGAAAATGGATCACATGAAGCACGGCCTCAACCAGTAGACTGCGGGAATATGTGGTAAAATAGTGATCTTGAGCGGCCTGCTCGAAATCGGTTGTATGCGTTGCCTATATTCGCAAAACGGCAGGTGAGGGAAGAGTGGGGAATTGTGAGTGCACTAGTATACCGAGGATAAACGAAAATTGCACCTGTCGCATTCATTAAACTATAGAGATCGCACAAATATAACCAGCTTGTGAAAAGATGCGACGGGTTGAGCAATGATATCATAAAGATAAAACCTATGCGATGAAGCTGAGTAATGATGGAAGAAGCCGCATGTAACAGATTGTTGCCATTGCCATAGTGGATTGAAAGTGTAAATCATCCACGGAATGACAAAAAAACATGATCTCTGTTAGCCAGTGGATAGGTTCGAATTCGATCTCGTTATTCAGGTGAAATACTGTGACTTCTTTCACCATTGTTACCATTGTTAAGTATCTTGTCAAGTGTGCATTTCAATGTCAGAAATACGTAGGCAATTGAATTTGATTCAAAGGAATCGGTTTTATTCGAGAGAATCTCAGCTTCAATGGAATTTACTCACTGGGTTATTGAGGGCTTAGACTGACTCCATTCATGCAATGAATCATGCTCACATTCACGTCTGGGCATGGTGACCGACTTATCGATCCATCTTGATGTGATTCGCCTCCTTACCCAACCGACAGAGGTCAATTAACTCCGGGTTCGTTCATTCGTATCTATGACGCACACTCGATCAACGATCACAAACATACCGTTCCCGGGTGAAACGTGTATGTGTGGGGGTGGGGTGAGAACGGCCCACCTCACCCCACCGAAACATTCATCTTCACTCAGTAACTCACTCAAAAAGTACTTTTGTTTACGGGGCAGTGAGTTCATTCGGACTGGATGGGGTTTAAACAGACCCGGCCCAATCGGTGACATTTCAGGGCCGAAACACCAATCATCCTGTGGGATTCCCAAAGGAGTGCGATTGATTGGATTCACTTGAAGTTGCAACGGATTCACTTGAAGTTACTACGGATTCACTTGAAGTTGAACATTCCATGGTACGCTAATAAAAAACTATGATTGCAAGTGAAAATCCGTACCGCGCTTGGAAACGGTAGTGTCGCTGTAAGCGGAAAACGAATCACGGGCAATCAGCTCCTCGAATAACCGAAGGCATTGTGAGTGATCGTTGGGAGTAATGCAAAGCAACGGTAAAAGAAATCAGCGGGCAATGGAGTCAACAGAGACAATGAACAAAGGGGAATATGGATAACCAGTAGTCACCAAGATGTAAGGCAGTAATCGCAAGGAGTATTACAAACACTGAGTATTTACAAGTAAAATTATCATTGGTGATCTTCTTAAAATGCATGAGATTCAGTTACTGAGCGCCGAGGACTCTGGACGCAACAGCCAGTATCGCAACCTTGCACTAATCAAGTTCAGTGCAACCGTTGTAAACTGGGGAAAAATGGAATATATACATATATATATATATATATATATATATATATATATATTTGCAGTGAATAAATCTCAAGATGGACCCGATTTTTTAAGATAGGTGATCTTGGGCTCAACGGTAGAAAAATGTGAATTCTCGAAGATTGAGTAGGTGGTATTGGAGAGTGATAAACATCATTCAACATGGAAACGAGAGCCCAAATATGATCGTAAAAGACTGATCGAAATACGTTTGTGATTTCTTAAGCGAAAGTAACACTGCTTTCAGTAGTAATCTCTGCGTCGAGTATTGTAACTGTGCAATACTGCTATCCTCCTGGTCTTTGCTGAATGGTGGACTGTTTTAAAATTAACATCTATTTGGTAACAGAAGGTTCCTCCCATATGCTAAAAGAGGATCAGAGATGTCCCTGTGCAAATAAAATGACGTATATTGATATCCGTGCGCCATTCTCAATGGGTAACTTTCCATTCACACGCTTTCAATCACATTTGGATCTACGCCATTATTAACTATTCTCCTGTCGTTTTTTAAAGGAAAGGTAAATCTTTGTGTGTGAAAGAGTAGTACTACACACGTTTTATCTTCAACGTCATGAATAAAAAAACCACAGTCCCGCTAATCACGCGGTTTAGGTACGGTAAGGTTGTCAATTTTAATTAACCTACTCCTAAACATTCCAGCTCCTCGTCAGATAGAACAGAATGAGCCAATGAGATGGTCTGTCGCGTGCCACTACCCTCCACAAGTTGGCCACCTTTAAGCCACAAAAACAGACGGCGATTCAACGAGGCGTCACGACGCAACAGGACGCATAGGGACGCTTGACATAATTTGACACAATCTTCTCGAGTCAGCGTCTCACTGGATATGTGCAACTGATCCGACCCGATCGTGAATAGGTGAATGGGCAAGGCTGATTGGAGAAAATCCAGTGCATCCCGCTGGACCAGCAACACCGAGTCACCGAATAGACAGCATAAACTTTGAAGCTGTAACAAGGTGAAAATGTAGCAAATTAATTTGAGGATGAACAGGTGCTAGTGGGGAAATCAGTCTTAGCCAACAAGAAAGAAGCTGTAAGATAGTCAACCTTTACAAAAAAATTACGTAAACCTTACACGATTGTTTTTTTGTTACTTTATGGCTGNGGCTGCGAATTCTATTCACTTCGCTCTGAGGATACTCAACGATTATCAGGGTCTCCCGAACATCGCCGCAGTGTTGTGGTCACATCGCATAGGAAATGGATCGATTCAACGAGTTAAATAGTTATTTTATTAAAACTAAATTAATATAAACGTTTTTTTACTTTCCTTTTGTGTACTGAGTATGAAAATGTACAATCACCTTTTTGGAAGGGAGCCAAGGCCATAAAAAGACTTTTTGTGGAAATACATGAATTGGGAGGATCGGCGGTGGTGACAGGGATCGAACTCAGGATATCCAGGTAGCTACTTTGACTACCTTAACCATTTGACCACCGCCACCGGATCGCTGATGTCATTTTGCTCCGCAAGCTTAAATGGTTCAGCCGAATTCTGTAAATGACAATCTACTGCTTACCTAACCGCGTCCTGTGTGCCTTGGTGGCAGTGTACGAGAAAAAAACCTTACCGTCGACTATTCGCGAGCTGTTGGCCACGGAATCCGTGTTGAGGCTCAAAAGTTTGTTAAAGACATCGAGAGACAAGGTTTTTAGTCTGAATGATTGGTGCGTTGTTAGTCCGTCTTCATTCAGATTTCGCATTGTTTGCAAATAGAATAAAAAACCAAAGAAAGGACAAAAAAGATTCCCTTTCCCCACACAAATTTCACCTTGTATACCATGCCAAGAAGATTTTCCTTTTATTCTCCTTTTGGCTCTACAGCTGTATGCCTTTCTGTCCTTTCGACGGTGTTACTTTCAGTTTGTACAACCATTAACCATGCACTATCGTGCGAATATCGCTCGCCGCGGCAAACTATCTGGGGACATGCGCATCGCATGTCTCAACCAGCGTAATCTATGGAGGTCGA